CTACTTGTTCACGCATAAATTCTCTACAGCATTCACAATCTGTGCGCATGTTTCGTGTTTTCCATGGCTAGAGCTCAAGAAAACGATATTTGGCATGTTTTTCTTTAAAGCGATTCTGAGCTCTAAGTGAATGATTCTGTAGAATGAACGACGGAGTATAACCAGGAATTTTTAGCTTTTTGTTTGCTAGTTTTCAAGAAATGTCAGCTTCAGCGCAAACAACCCGAAAAATGCGACAAATATTCATTTTGCCTTGTTTTTGTGTCTCGTATTCCGTCTACAAAAGATTTCTACAAAGTGTACACATGAATCTCCAATATGGAGAGCACATGTTTTTTTGGATGAGGATAGCTTTTCGGTTTTAAAGCCTCGGGCAGAGTCTGTCGCGATTTCATTGCCGCGATTCTCCTAACAAGACAACAATTACGAGTTTATTGCATGCCGATCATTTTGCATTTCAGTTGTGATAGTTCTCCACTACCAATTGTGACTAGCTATCACAACCGAAATGCAAGATGATCGTAATGAAATGGACTCGTTACCGTTTGTGTTGTTGGAAGAATCGCGGTGGTGAAATCGCGTGAACTCTGAGCGGGGCCTAACGCGACGTTATTTTCCGAAAAACCCAATATATGAAAGTGTGACTTAGAAAGGTGGCTATGGACGCAAAATTTTTGAGAAGCATCTTCATAATTTTGAAAAATTTTAAAAGTCAGCCACGCACCTTCATTCTAAAAAAATTTTTTGTCGCCCCTCCCCCCTTCCTTGGACAAAAATCCGGGGTACGCCAATGCTTTGCGGATACTACCACTTACACCTCAGTATCCCGCAATTGAACCGAAAGAGACGTGCCTTTCTGAGAGACCTTTGCAGTTGTATATAGAATGTATATACAGGTTGTCCCAAAAGTAAGTACACACTTTTCAATCGTTAATATCTCTCTTCCTATTGTGTTTTTTCCGCCATTCAAGTACCATTCTGTAGAGGAGGATTCAACTTAGGGCCGCATGCACTAACATGGCCGCGGGGAGGGGATCGCAGCTTAAAAGAAAGCTTCAAATTTCAAAACTCCAGATACTTGGATTTCACGTTGAGTACCTATCCGTAAGTATTCCTACTATCCTTCACTATGAACATGTTGAACAGGAGCGAGAACCTGTATAAGTCGCATTTTCCAGTTTTTGTATGATCCCTAATGATCCCCGGCGCTTTTCTTTAAAGTCATTTTTCTTTCTCCGAAGTTAACGAAAAACTTCCAATGTTGTGCATATTATCTAACCCAACAGTGCTAAGCATGTTGCTGATAAGAACAAATGATGTTTTGAAGTCATGAAATTTTCGGTGATCCACAGGTCGAAATTTGGAGTATACCGAAAAATTCGATTTTTCAAAAATTCATTTGTTCTCATCAGCAACACTGTGCTGATGAGAACACTGTGCTTAGCACTGTTGTGTTAGATGTTCAGTATAACTTTGGAAGGTTTTCGTTAACTTCGGAGAAAGAAAAATGACTTTGAAGAATAGATGTTCGTCCCCAGGGATCATCAGGGGATCCTACAAAAAGCTGGGAAATGCGGCTTGTACAGCTTCCCGCTTCTGCTCAATATGTTCATAGTGAAGGATGTTGGGAGTACTTACGGACAGGTAGACAGCGTGAAATCCAGATATCCGGAGCTTCAGGATATGAAGCTCTCTTCTGAAGCTGCGATCCCCTCCCCAGTGGAAATGTTGCATGCGGCCCTTGGATTTAATGTATCGAGCAAATCACCGATCGCTCTTTTTTACTGTAGGATTATTGTAGGGACTTCGAAGATTTTAGGTCATTGCAAGCCATATGCTGCCTCAGAACAAAACCAAACAAGCCAAATACACCTATACTATGATAATGGAAGCCGCTGATTTCGAATATGAAATTTCCATTTTACTGTGATACTTCTTTCCAAAGTTATCTCAGGTAAACCATAATAACCGAATCAGGGCACGGCACAGGTGGCTTACCACGCAAGCTGGATATCGTTTTTGGGGAAAAAGCAAAGGGGATATCGTTTTGCGGAAAAGCATAACATTGTCTTTCGATCTGCGGCCAGCACGCTGCCGGCATGCCGCTAGCAAATAAACAAAGGGTTCGTTTACAGCGAAGTGAAGATGAAATGACACCAAAATAGGTGTGTAGATGGGCAATGGGGAGTTACGACTAAGTATGAAAAATCATGAAAAAATTATGTGAACTAAATGCGTGCTCAACTTTTTTCGGAGTTAGGTGGCTTTCAAGCCACCTGGATAGCCACCTGAGGTGGCTTAGGAAAGAAAAAGTCATAAATTTTTCCTCCCTCACATAATTTTTCTACTTTCTTTACATACTTTCCATCTACATCCCAAACCCTACAAACTGGTTCCTAAACCGCCTCAAACCCCCTTCTCCCCGCTTAGTTATAGCCCCTTGAAAATTTTGAATGGCCGCGGAAAGGCTGCTCTAGGCGCGTATTGCTGCACGATGGACACATTATGCCACCATTTTGGAGAATATGAATATAATCGTGTGTGTTCGATAATTCTTTCTCTTTTTTTTCTGCTGTTGCTTTGTTCCGTTCCTTTTCATGTAATTTCTGTTCGAATATCTCGTGGCGGATATCGTAATTTCATTAAAGTCAAAAGGGACTTCATTTTTTGCAATTTCGGGACGCCACCTCGTGCGAGCCCTGGTCTAGGGTCAAAGGGGACTTCGTAAAAATTCGCAAAAGTTCAAGGGGTCTTCGTTTTTTGCATTTTCAACTAGCCACCTCCTCAGAGCATTGGGTCGTGCGGGCGGGCTGCGAAGTAGCCCTTCCGTGCGTGCGGGCAGCCTAATTATAAGGGTCATTCGAGCCCCCGTGCGAGCGCGCCGCATGAGTTTAGGCATGCGAGCGGGCAACCATGTCTTTTCTGTGCCAGCGCGTAAAGGAACGCTGCACAGACGCGCAATTACGGATTGTTTCAAAAAGAAAAGGCACGGTAATTGATGCGCAGATCTTCTTAACTTTCTCCTTCGAGATTGTTTTATGACAAAAGCTTCTATACTTGAATCTTCTCTAGCTTATGTAGGACTTCTCTTATGCTGTATTTGTATCGTTTTGGATGCTATGCTGCAATAGTTTTATCGCCCTCTCATGCGTATTTCTTTCTCAGTATTGATGCTAAAGCATTCTGCGATATTATGACCCCGTCTTTTTCCATGGTATTTTTGTTTGTTTGAGTTTTTTGTCATCCGTGTCATTCATTGATTGACCCTTGCCATAACTGACGTTTACCATAGATTCGCACCTCATTTCGATGTGTGACATTCTGCCTACGCTCACTTGTGATGATCGACGCTTTCTACAAGTGGAACCCACAACATCGATTGCCACTGCGAACACTCAATTAAATTTTCTACTACCTCAAGGTTCTATTGGACTACACGACAAGGTATGGTTCCATGACTCGCTTGCCTTGATTATGCCCAATTCTAGCGGATACGAAGGATGTGATAGGTGTGATAGCACGACGTTTTATTCGAAGTGGTCCTACGACATTAATCAGAAAACCCTTCATTTCTAGATCCTCAAGGATGTCTTTAGTGGATCACACGAGGTATGATGGCAATCTTATTTGTTCTAATGAGATGCGCAATTACTTTCAGCAAAATACAAATGGATAAAGGCTGAAGATCGAAGCAAAGGTGATTTTTTATATCACTATTGGCGTGCTGTGTTTGTTTGACGGTTTTTTTTTCAGAGCATGGAAATATAACTATTTTGGATGAAGGTTACCTTTAAGAAACGAGCGGAAACGCAGAATTTGAAGCAACCTTACAGACTATTGTTTTGTGTTATAATTGTATATAATACCAAATGTTATGTGAGAGATTGTAACGCGCAGCATAGGAATTGACAGTTCGTCTTGTCTCTTATCTAGCTTTCTGTTCTTGTTCATGATTTAGTTTGTTCTCTTACAAGACAGTTATACATTCTTGCTTGCGCGATTCTGTCGAATTGTAATGTTATGATGTTTTGGTTTACAAAATAAACATTTAGAGCCATTATTGGAGTACATTCAAGCACCACACATAAACAAGCAACAAAAATAACCCCGAATAAGTGTCCAAAATCATCAACCCCCGTGCGTGCGGCAACCCACCGTCATGCGGGCGCGCTGCGATACCGCTACGGCCCGCAACACCGGCGCCCGCTCGCTGCGGCGTGGCAACCCGCCCGCACGGAGCGAATCCCTGAGTCGTGCCGAGCCCTGAACCGAATTTCCAGTACTTGTCAGAAATGTGATTACACCGTCAGAAAAGCTGAAAACACTTGCCCAAAGTTGTGTAGTGGAACCAGCGTGCGCGAAAACCCTAGTACACAATTTCTCAAATTTTTTGAAAAAAATTTTGTCAGTGGCATATTAATGGTTCCACATGCTGGAAGTTCTTACCGTAATTCTAAAGTAACGAAGAGAGATAGGTGATTCGACCGATACTGTAAATCTAAGTTGAAGCCTCGTCTCAGAATGGTACCTGACTGGCAAAAAAGACCCATCGGGAAGAGAGATATTGACAATTAAAAGTGTGTACTTAATTTTGGGACACCCTGTATATCAGAAATTCCTGTTCGAGCTTTGTCTGTCTGCCATATCCCCTATCCAATCGCCACTTTGACCGAGTGACTTTTTCCTTATTAGAATTTTGTTTCTGATCTGCTTCCAAAGCAATCAGTTGCAGAGAATGAAAACTCTATGGTCTGTATCTCTGATTAGTTTTCATTGTCGTAGGTCATCGCTTCCATAGTTCTTGCCCGTCTACTTTAGCATATATGGCGAAGAAGACCACATTCTGTCAAAAAAGTACTGTAAGAGATGCAAGGGATGATATGCTTGAGTCCAGTTAATAATCTGGGCCAAGTACAAGACTATTTTGCTACTTTCTACAGTTTCTGTGCAACTAGTAAAGGGTTTCACCATCCGTGTTTTTTTATATGTCGGTGTTTCAGGTCCGCAATACCACCTTTTTCCTCGCATTTTGGCTGAGATCATCTCTGGTCACTCCGTGGCCGAGCTATCCTTACACCTTACACAAGGTCGATGGTACAGCTCACGTTGGGGTTTACCTCCACAACCTAGCGGATCTACCGGAGCAGAAGTCCATGCTTGGATCCATGGAAATGACACTGTGTGAGTGTCCTTCTATAAATCTCAGAAACAAAAGGAAGATGGCTGTGGCACCATAACATATGCATATTTTGGTCGTTGACCCAGGTCCCTTCTCCCTGAGAATGGTCGCGAAATTTTTAAGTGGTACGCATGAGTCATACAAGTGTAATGACTAATTTTCAGCAATAATAGCTATCCACGAATTTGGCATGTAAGACCGCTTTTTCCAAGAAATATTACTTTCTCGAGGAAAGTAGGATGCGCTTTTATTAGTCCGATTTACAGGCGGACTTATCTGTAGGACGGACTAATTTACCCAGGCCAGATTTATCTGCGGGGAATGTAGGGGGCTTATATGGTGACCTTAGGGTCTATGAATTCATGTAAATAATCATTGTTTGTGAAAGCTCTTATGCGGTTGCGCTGCTGTTGCCACCATAGGTGCGATAAGGTGAGAATGACCTCTCCAGGGTGAAGGGGGTCACGGTGGTCGCAGACCCTCCAGGGTGAAGGGGGTGCCTAGTGATTTCTGGAAATTTTCGAGTTTTCAACATAAAAAAATTCATAACTTCTGTAGATGAACAGCTAGTACACGGAGATGCTCACCATTAGAACCTCTCATTCTCCGCTTTCAGAAAATATATAGATTGTCTGGGATCCGTTGGAAAAAGTCCATAGTGAAGGGGGTGCCTAGTGATTTCTGGAGATTTTCGAGTTTTCAACATAAAAAAATTCATAACTTCTGTAGATGAACAGCTAGTACACGGAGATGCTCACCATTAGAACCGTCTCATTCTCCGCTTTCAGAAAATATATAGTTTGTAAGGAATCCCTTGCAAAAAGTGCCTGGTGAAGGGGGGGGGGGTGAGAATTTTATAACGGGAGTTCTCAGGTAGACGTCTTTTTACAATGGTGAAAAGGCCTCTGCCTGAGAACTCCCGTTATAAAATTCTCACCCCCCCCCCTTCACCAGGCACTTTTTGCAAGGGATCCCTTACAAACTATATATTTTCTGAAAGCGGAGAATGAGACGGTTCTAATGGTGAGCATCTCCATGTACTAGCTGTTCATCTACAGAAGTTATGAATTTTTTTATGTTGAAAACTCGAAAATTTCCAGAAATCACTAGGCACCCCTTCACCATGGACTTTTTCCAACGGATCCCAGACAATCTATATATTTTCTGAAAGCGGAGAATGAGACGGTTTCAATGGTGAGCATTTCCTTGTACTAGCTGTTCATCTACAAACGTTATGAATTTTTAATTGAATTTTTTCAAATTTTGCTTATAAATCTAAGGACATAGCTGGAAGAATGCCACGATTGCCCTTCACTTGCTTCTTGACTGTAGAGCCTACAAGTAGGTTGATAGCGTGGTCATTTTATCAGGCATAATCTTACCTCACTGTTGATTTTTTTTTGTCGGTTTTGGTGAAGGGGGTCACCTTGGTTTCCGGCTCAGGGGTGAAGGGGGGGGGGTGAGCAAATTCTCACACTATCGCACCTATGGTTGCCACCGTAAACCCTAGATATCCTGGAAAACCAGTATATTTTTGATGGCTAATGCCACACCCTTTGATAAAAAAATTGCTGCATACCTCCCCTTACAAAAGAATCTCGGACTGTCATTGGCATACATACCTTCGCGTATCTGCTGTACATATCATCCAAAAACTCTGGATATTTGGGGAATACTTACCGAGCAGAATGCTGAATTTTTAACACTCTTACTTCTGAGCTAGAGTTCGATAAAATAGCACTTTTTGAGCATAGTAAAACTGACTTCAACAGCACTTCACAATCGTTCTCTGTGAGGTTCGTGAAAGAACTCGTCTGGGTTGTAGATAGAAAGAGCAGCTGATTGGTTGTGTTGTTGATAAACGAGAATGGGCATATTTTCGCCATCAATATGACCAAAGTTGACGCAACAGAAAGCAGTTTGGAGTGCATATTTGTTTTGAGGGAGATTTAACATCAATTTATAATTCATAATAAGGGCAAATTATTCGACGTATTTAGAACTTTTTTTGGACATGTGCCGAACGCGACTCTGCACGCAGCTTTACCAAGCCAGTGCTCAACTTTTATTGTTTCCAAGTTATTGTCCCCAGAGTATCAAGGGTGTGCCAGGACGGGGATGGAGCTTTGGATCGCACCAGTCGTAGCAACGCTTCAAACAGTGCGCCACATTTCCCCGAGTCTAGGACTGATCAATTCGAACATTTTCAAAGCTCTAATATAAAGTCTGACTTTTCAGCGTCGATGAGAAGTGGCGAACTCTCATCAATGCCTTGAATGGCGTGTTCTGCACGGCGCTGACCAGCGTGGTTCCTGAGCTCACAACATCTCCGAAATTTGCATTCAGACCTCTGGGACCCGATGCAGGGCGTGAAATGCATTTGCGGTACAGCGCATTAGGGCGAGAAACTGTATGCACAGAAAATCTGACACCATGGAAGAAATTACTTCCCTGCAAGCAGGTTTGTTCTCTCGCATTTTCTAGCCACGTATGGTTGATCAGTACGATTTAGAACGGCCTCGTTACGCTTTTTAATCCCATCAAATTGTACGAAAATGTCTACCATTCGATAGGCTTTCAGCTTCACCCATATTGTGAGGTAGGCAGCATTTTGGGCAAATGAAATCGTTCAAGTCCTTACTATCATATTTTAGGGTTCTGTGTGTAAATGGCATCTCCAGCTTATGATGTACAGCGTTATCGATATCTCTCTCAAAAATAAAGGATCTCGTGAGGAGCCATCTCAAACGCTTACTATCCCTGCCAACTTTTAATATGCTGTGAATTTTTTCATTATTTCAGACTGGAATCTCTTTGACATTTTTGGCAGAAAGATTGTTGGAGTCTGCAATGCCGCATCGAGCAGCAAAATAGTGATCGAAGTGGATGACAAAGTGTGTTGTCACATATTTCTATTTTGCATTTCGCTGCGACCCCTTTTGTTTTACGTGTTCGCGGACTTTCAGGGACACAACTTTTCTCAATGTTTTAAATCCTTTTTTGGAATTATTTGGCATTTTTGTTCTCGAATTCGTTTTCTGGGGACACTATCCTAGGTATACATATACATGCGATGAGCAAATGTTCAAGATTCGTAGATTTTGAAAGGAATTTCTAGAAGAGAGTGGACAAGGCCCTTCGCGCCAGATTCTTGCGAGTAAAATTTTTTTATTATCTACACACTCGGGAATTGCTGTGATATTTTATAGAGTATAATCTGTTCTGCGCAAGTCACTCTTCATCACAGAAATTTGCTTTTTTGCAACATTCGACTTTTAGAGTCTTCGTCTGGAACCTGCACCCACGGAAGTTGTAAATAAGGTGGAAGGAACATACGCTATTTATGATCTTCGAAATAAACCCACTGAAGAATCCTTCACTGTATCTGCCTCCTACGACAAACCAAGTCCCAGCAATATTGTGCTGCATTCACCGGTGAGGTAAGCAGGAACTTAACATCACCGGATTTATTACGATGATATTCCCTACCACCTATCCACAGGGCTCGGCGCAGTTGGCTTATAAGCAAGCTGGGTATCGTTTTTGGGTCAAAAAGCAAAGGGGATATCGTTCTTGAAACTGAAAGGCTGAAAAAACTCGAAAATTTGCGACGTTTTTTTTTTCCTTTTTTAGTCGACGTTTCGTTTTGTTTAGGGCTTTTTACGTTTAGGGATTAGGGTTAAAGGGGACTTCGTAAAATTTTGCGAAATTGCAGGGGACTTCGTTTTTTTTTGCATTTTCCCACCTCTTGCCAAAACCTGCCTATCCAAACATAGTGCGCCGGTTCTTCATGTGTCTTTAAAAATTCCATATCTTCAGTAAAAAGAATATGTTGATTTACTTCTATCTGAGCTTGGTCAGATTCAGTTGATGTAAACATCTGCGGCCTCAGAATTTTTTTTTAAAAAGGGGAATAAGTAGTTCTCATCTACACTCTCCGAAATTTTATTTGGTTGCTTTTCACGAGAGAGGATCACGAAGATGAAGTGGCTGATCACCACAAAATGCATACAGTTAGTGAGAAGCTGGAGCGCTGATTCCGAATCAGTTTTCATTAGCTGCAGAGCGCCTCTTAAAAAAGAAGTTATGGTCATTTCTTGGAGCCGAAAAATGAACTAACTGCTGGGAAAAGATCAATCATTACAGCCCAATCATTACAGCCTTTTCAGACCTTAGATGAAGCACGACAAGTGGGTCAGGATATTTTATACAATAGACTCCTTCTGCCTAGTATTATATATCTGTGCTTCCCATTTTTCCATAAGGAGCTTAGAAATGCCGTAACGGTTGATTTTTTCCCGGCCGTTAGTTCATTGTTTCGCCTCCAAGAATGTTCATACCTTCGTTCTCAAAGGCGCTTTGCAGATACGGAAAGCAGATATGGAACATCGGCTTCAACCCTCCCTTGTTAGAATTTTTGCGTTATATGACCCAGAAATTGTACGAAAAAGGGCACGATATTAAACATGCCCAAAAAATGTTCTTGACTAAAATAATTAGATTTTTTACGAACTCGGGTGGTGAGGAAGGGAGATGGCGAAATCATGAAATGAAGAGTTTTACAGTGTTTTCAAAAATGTGCGAGCTACCTATTTTCGCTGCAAGCAATAATGTTTTTTGGTTTTTAACTGATCTGTTTTATGGAAGAAGATACCATTTTGGACGCATCATGTCATTGCATAGATGATTTAATCAATCCTTCCCTATGCAGCTATCGAACAAGAACATGTCATTTCTTTGATGAGCGATTTGTTTGCTCGACTAGGTAAATCTGTGAATATAAGTTCACATCTTCGGCGGACAAAAATGAGGTAAGCATAGTGAAGAAACATGATTCTATCCTTGTCTAAGGAATGATCCGCTGAAAACAAACTCTTTGTAGTTTTTTGGCTTTGTCGTTTCCTTTACAATTCACTACTCGCGTTTCATTCAGCGTTTCAACGCTTGTTGGAAGCACCGACCAGATGTCTGGCGTTCTAGCATCTGTCATCAAGAATGAAGGGAAAGCACAGCGAATGGTTTACACACATTTGATTCCTTGGTTCCTGCACATTTATTACCATACCATTTCTCTCACTTGCAAGGATGCAGCGAGCAAGGAGTACAAGGTATCGAGCTTTATTGATTGATTCGCAGTCCTTTCAAAAAACTTCCCCTCAGGTGCCGCATATTCTGAATCGGCACTTCTTACCTGCTATTGCAAGGCAAAGACCCGCTCTTGTTGAGATAGAGTTCGACATGCCTGCAAATGCGGAATGTCGCGTGCAAATCAAATTTGAAAAAGCGTTCTTGAGGTTTGTTCCGTCATAAATTTGATTTTCGCTGACAAATTGATTTTAGAATTCGAGAATATCCACCCGATGCAAATCATGGAATGTATGTTCCTGGTGCCATCATTACGCTTCCACACAAGAAGGATAAAGCAGATAATGCAAACACATCGTGAGTGCAGTCTTGCATTTGTACTACAAGTTATCTTTCATCAAAAATATATCAAAATTGAAGGAGTATGTATTTTGAAAAGGGAAAATGAGAATCAGCTTTCAGACTTGATTTGGCGTCTTCTATCATTATGCTCATTCTCACATGGGTAGAAAATTTTGCTCCATTTATACTCCTTTTGATCAAAAGATGCGCGTTCTTGTAAAAAAAAATCCCTCAATTTTGCCATCAATTATACACAATAGATTGTGATTGTTTTATCCGGTCAGCTTCTGTGTAAATAGATATTCTGCTTGGCCGATTGTAATCAGGTACATTCCCACGTAACCTAGTTTTCTCGTATTGCACTTTTTGTTTATGCTCTGTCGTAAATTCCGCTGGTGTTCCTATAGTTTCAGAACAAAAAACCAATTTTGGCTTGCCATATCTCAAAAACCATTCATACTTAGTTCTAATAGTGGAGTGAGTGCAATCTTGATTCATAAGTCAAGTTTAGCAAAATTTTTTCAGGAGTAAAGACAAAATTCACAACTCTATCAGGGCTTGGCATAGGTGGCTTATAAGCAGAAAAAGCGGGGATTTCGTTTTCGTGGCCGAAAATACAAAATTTGCGACTTTTTTTGGGCGACGCTTCGTTTTTTTTTGGAGATTTGTTTAGGATAATGGCTAAGGGTCAAAGGGGACCTTCGTAAAAAACTCGCAAAAGTTAGGGGACTTCACTTTTGCATTTTCAATTAGCCACCTCGTGCCGAGCCCTGAACTCTATGTTCAACTTTGCTGTGCCGAACAGTGAATTAAAGAAGGATTACAACAAATGAACAACAACGAAAATGGATGGAAATTATTTACAACTCTTTTCTGATTCTTCTCTTGATAGACAGCCTCATGGTTTTGTTATAATATTCTGCTTTTCAGAATTTTGACTGTTTTTCCTCCTCTTCAAAAAGTTTCTAGGAAATTTCTCACAAAAAAAATGGGGCGGACCAGATACGAAGCAATATATCTTTCTCATACGAGCTGTTCAATTCTATTTTTTGTCTTGATGAGACCATTTTAAATTCTGAAATGAAAACTTGAAAGTATGCATTGAGCTGACAATGGAAATGCATATCGACCATTTTCCAGAAATGCAAATATACCATTTTTCAGGAAATATGTCACCATCCATGGCAACGTGGTGTTGATCGCTCTTCCCGTGCCAGATTTCAGCATGCCATTCAATGTCATCTGCTTTGTAATGACTACTGTATCGCTGTGTTTTGGACCAATACATAGTTTCTCTACCAAAATGTACATTACTAAATAATTTTTCGCAACAGTTTTTCCAGTAATTTTTTTTTTTGCTTTCAGCCTTATTCCCGTCAACTCGGTCTTGCCGGGATCATCTTTGCCAAGGAAAGTGTTCCGCTTCTTTTTGCTGATCCTGCTGGCATTAGCTTCATATGCGCAATACAAAGAAATGAGTCTGCACGAGATACGAAGGAGCATCGAGCAGTTCTTTGAAAAGATGAACAGCGTTTGATTGCTAGTCATTCCTACTTAAGTGAAAAGCGGGTTTATTTGCTCTCACTTTTTTCCATCATGTTAATCATGTGCTTGAATCGATGCAATAAAATAAAATGCTTCTTCTACACAGAATATTACTGTCCATCACTGTTGCAAAAATAATGTAAACTGTTTGCTGATTTGATAAATAGTAAAACAATGGTAGCCTTCCCTTCTCGATGCGTTCTAAGAAATATCATAAAACGTTTGAATATGCATAATTCCTATTTCTTCCGGCAGGGTATTACCGTCAAAATTCACTGTTTAATTGCTCAAATTGTTCTGTACTGTATAGATGAACATGAATTAATGCGACGCGAAGGGGTAAGTATGCTCTCTTCTGGAGTTTTCATGGATTGATTGGAGCTGTGGAAGCTTATCTATGTTCTCTCAAGCACTACCCAGAGAATCTTCATATATCCAAGTTTACCCCGGTTTGTGGCATCTGTCAAAACCTTGCGAGTTTTCAATGCTATTACCAAAATGAACTTGTCTTCAGAAGCAGAAAGTCTTAGCTTTGATACCTTGTCCACAGCAAATATCGTAGACAGACAGTCATTGAGCAGCAAGATATTCATTTTTTATTTTACTGAAAGTCTGGTTTCTCGAGGGCACATAGCAAACTCAGCATTGTCCGGAGTCAATCGCCAATACACTTGAAAATTATTTAGGCAGGTCTGAGTACGGTTCTCCTTAGACAAGCAATGACTAAGACGTCTTAGCTAAACCACTGTCTCGAATCCTTCTCGGTCGAGAGATTAGCTCTGCTAGTCCAGACCATACACTGTCGGCACGGATCAATTAGTCCTTGAGTATGGTAGAAAGTACGGTTTGGGCTAGAGTTCAAACAAATTTCTCACAATTGAATCATATGAGGTGTACGTTCGAAAACTTTGTTACAAAAAAGCCTTAGTGCTGCAAAATGTTTCAAACTTTGTAAAATACGCACTAATCGTGGTTGCGTATCACACGACAAATCACTATAGCATCTGTTTCCAGGCAACCTTGCGTGTTTTTTTCTCATCAACATTATGATGCACAATGCTACAATGACAAGCTCTCATTGTAAAGCAAATCTGCGCTGAAAACACGAAATTTCAAAACACAAAGCACAACAACACAGCACAAAACACCATCGACTATAGGTTGTCTCAGAAACCATTTTCATAAAAGGATTGAACTGCTTTTGTTTTCTTAGCACTTGTACCATTCGATAGAGTAGAGCAAGCTCTACACTATGACCACAAAATATTAATCTAAGTCGTAATCTAGGTAAAGTTTGGAGCCAGAAACTAGAATTTCTCGACTATCCTACAATCGGATTTCCTTCTAAAAAATCTGCAGGCCTCCAAGTTGGTCATCATAGAGCAGACACACAAGTATCCATAAATATAATTGCCGGATTTTTTCCGCAGTGCAATTCAAGAAAAAGAAATGATCCGGAAACAAGAATGTCACTTTCTTCGGTTTTTTTTCTGTTAAACTTTATAATTGCGATTAGCAGGGCACCTGCAGCGATAATTTGAGATTCTACTTACTAAGGCTTGCAGTATATAACAAATGTGGAAGGAGTAGGGGCGGAGTTTGTCATTCTTGCACTGTCTTTTTCTTGATTTTGCGCAAAAGGAATTTAGCAGATGCAATTATGAGTACCACTACTTATCTTCTATATGACGACCAATTTGAAGCTCGTAGATTTTTTTTGCAACTCAGCCGGTTTTTTGGATTTGGCTCTGAACTTCACGTGGATTACGACTGGTGGACCTCTAATGATTTTTTGTAGAGCTTTCTTTGTTCTATAAAAAGTGCCCTAAATCTGCTAGAAAAACAAAACAGTTTCATTTATTTGAAAACGGTTTACGTTTGGGACAAATAGATAGAACTGTAAAACAAGTCCTTTACTGATAAGTGAATGCATAATTCATTATATTTACACTGTCCTGTTATGTCCTCACTCTGTTTTTCATGAGTCAGTCATTGATAGTTATGAAATATTATGCGTGGATATCCTGACACGGAATGACCTAGTACGTTTTATACTAGTATATAGAGCTCCATCCTGTTCTGTTCGATACTCTGATCAAATGACAAAAGCCGTATCTGATCTGATATCGTGCAATCATTCTTCTGTTTTACTTGGGGATTTTAACTTTCCGGGTATTGATTGGGGAACCGAACCCCCCTTGGGGAATACCCCTGCCACTAGGTCTTTTCTCAGTATGTGTGAAAGCCATCTGCTTTCCCAAAGAGTCTCTAGTAGTACTCTGGGGAAAAACGTTTTGGATTTGGTTTTCACCAATAAAGATGATCTAATTACCAAAGTTAGCCTGTGTCCACCGGTCGGGTCCAGTGATCATGCTTCAGTTAGCTTCTCCTTGCGCTACAGGACTAAAACTCGTGCTGCATTTTCTGTCAAAAGGGACTATAAAAATGCTGATTTGACGGGAGCTGTTCGCTATCTTGAAACTGTCGATTGGTTTGGTTCTTTTAACTCAGTTAGTACAGTCAACGAAATGTATGAACTGTTCATTTTTGTCATCCATCATGCTATTGATCAATTTGTGCCATTACGTAGGGTCCCAGTTCACAAAGTCCCGTTGCCTCGACACATTGTCTCCCTCTCTCGTTTTCGTGCAAAGGCTTGGCACAAAGCCAAGTTTAGCGCTGACCCAAGGGCCTCAGATCTTTATAAGAAGATCAATCATAAACTTGAAAGGAGACTGAAAAAATACTATGCAAATTTAGAGAAAAAGATAATCAATGCTGGTGATAGAACATGCTTTTACAGGCTCCTCAATGCTAGACTAAAGGAAAGAAATAAACTGGGTGTTATCAAGTCTAATAATGGTGCAGTTTTGTATTCTAACCTGGACAAAGCTGAATGTTTTGCTGACTTTTTTGAAAGCACTTTTGTGAAGTATCAATGCAGTGGCCTACCTCAGGTTCCTACCCCATGCTTTGAGGTAATGGATGACTCAGTCTATTTCGATGACACAGTAGTCTATGAGCTGCTTCGTAAATGGCCTACATCCAAATCCTTAAATCCAGATTTCATTCCACTTCATTTTATTAAAGAGATAGCCCACGTGATATCTAAACCTCTGCAATTCTTATACAATCTTAGCTTGATGAGGTCTGAGGTCCCTGACAGATGGAAGGTCTCGTTCATCACGCCCGTCCCCAAAAGAAAACCTTACACCTGTGTATGCAACTACCGTCCTATCAGCATTACGTCCATATTTGCTAGGATATTTGAAAAAGTAATCAAAAAGCAAATAATAAATCATCTAGAGAATCATAGAATTATATCTACCGCGCAGCATGGGTTTCGTCAAGGGAAGTCTACTACTACGGCAATGTTGCATTGCCTGAATAACTGGACCCGCTATTTAGACGCTGGGCAGGGCGCTGATATCATTTATTTGGATTTTACCAAAGCATTTGATAAAGTTCATCATCAGAAGCTTGTGCATAGATTACTGGTAGTTGGAATACATCCTCGCATTGTGGCGTGGATTGAGGCTTTCTTGTCCAACCGCACTTTTCGAGTTTGTGTGAATAATGCCTTCTCCAGTCCTAGGCCTATGAGTAGCGGTGTACCCCAAGGAGGTGTGCTGTCCCCCATACTCTTCAACATCTATACCTATGACCTGCCTCAGCTTGTTTCCTCTCGCGGTGTATCATGTTGTGCTTTTGCCGATGACGTCAAAATCTATAGTGCAGTAGCTGAAATCGGTGACAAGCAGAAAATGCAAGAGGCTTTAGATATTGTGTTAACATGGTCCAAAGAATGGGGCCTACCGATTTCTCGAGAGAAAACCAAAGTGATGCACATAGGAGCTAATAACGCTGATTACACATATCAGCTTGATGGTAAGCCAATACAATATGTTAATGAGTTGATTGATCTTGGCTTCTTGGTTGATGATAAGCTCTCATTCAAGAAACATTGCGCGAGAACTGCTGCCAAAGGAGCGGCTGCGGTGCACAATATGTTTAGAGCTCTTACAACCAATGATACGGATATATTGATTCGGGCTTACAAGGTATATGTTAGGCCCTTACTCGAATATGGTACGGCTATATTCAATCCTACTACTTGTGTCGCCAACCACGCATTAGAGAGAGTCCAGAATAGCTTTACTAGAAAGCTAATGATACGAAAATCAGGATTCGTATATAGTCAACTCCCTGGATACAAGCTTCGTAATAAAAAGTTTGGTTTGGAAAGCTTAGAAAGAAGAAGGAAAAAGTTTGATCTTATCATGGCACACAAAATATTATTTGGAGGCTGTGAACTGAATTCAAGCGATTTTTTTGAACGCAGGAACTCAATAACTAGAGGTGATCCTAATAAAATCGTGCTCATGAGAACGAGGAGGAATGTGAGGAAGAATTTCTTCGTTAATAGAGTTAGCCACGACCTTGATAAACTCATCAGAATGAAAATGCTTCCTGTAAAGCTTTCTCGATTCAAAGCTGTCCTCGAGAACTACCTGTTTTCTTCCTCTGAGTCCCCTTATTAATCTTGTTGCATGTTTATTCTGTTTTGCCGAGCGATTCATAGCTGTTGTATGTTTTTTTTGGTGTTCTTTGTTATTGTTTGCGTACTTTGTTAACATAGGTTACTATCCTATGTAATAAATAAAAATAATAATAATAATATTTACACTGTGAGACTACGTTGACTGGCAATCACGCGCACTGTGCGTAATTTCCACTCTTTCTCCGCGGATGGATTTTTGCTTCTCATCATATGTTATGTTTTCGTGAAAACTGATCGGAAGAGCTTTATGCACATCCTCACAGTTCTATACTTTTCGTACATATTACCACAACAATTTGCCATTTTTCGGCATACGCATGCGGATGAGATCAATTGCTATGCCGTAGTATTGAAGACGGTATCCGTGAACTATCTGTCCTTAAACTTATTCGTCTTCATTGAAGAGCATGGAACGCTGAACGCGTGGGATTAATTCTATGCTCGAAATAATTCTGCTATGCGTAAGGGAAAAATTCCAATTGACAGCCACGTTTCCATTGTCTC